CAGACTCCTCTTCCTGTCTGCAAGCAAATGCTCTCCTAGAAGGCCACCCAAAAACAAGCTACAGGACTATGTTGGGTATTTGATTTTTATTCCCATTCAAGCATCTTTCTTTATTACAGAACACTCATTATTCTACTTGAATCCCCCTTGGTGGGGGGGATGTTCTTTTGGGTCACCAGCCATTGGCATATCACAGTATGAACCATTCTGCTCTGCAGTTCTCTACGTGTGGCCGAGCAGTTCTCACTGCTTTCATCTGCTTCCTCAACCCTGCATCCTCATGTCCCTCTTACAAAAAGATTTGAAGCTTAAAAACCTTCCGGACTTGAGGAGGCTTTTTGGTAGTTACTGACCTTTTGTGTTGGAAGCTGTTTTTGCACCACCTCTTCCTCCTCCCACAAGTTTGTGAGCCCACAGCCTCACCAGCCAGAGACCTGAGCATGAGCTCTGGGGGTGGAGCTGGAATGCTGAGCTTTCCAGTTGATCCTGACCATTGCGTTATTTTCTTGGAAAAAATCCAGTACAGAGATTGAACACCAAACCACAGAATGTATCTGTGATTTAACTTCCAGACACTGTTGTCATTGTAGTTCCCTGGTTATTATTAGCTTGTTATTAACATTTTGGATGACTGGTATTATGTGTCCATTGTTTAACTTTTTTATTACGGAAAAACTGAAACATCCAAAAGTAGACTGGAAGCGTAACACTCCCCCACAGATCCATCGGCTTGCTCCAGCAGTTACCCACACATGGTCCATCTCATCTGAGCTCTGTGCCCACCTGCTCTCCACCCCTTGGATTATTTTATTTTATTTTATCTTACCTTATTAAGTTTTATTTTGAGAGAGAGAGTGTGTGCATGCACAAGCAAGGGAGGGGCAGAGAGAGAGAAAGGGAGAGAGAGAGAGAGAGAGAGAGAGAATCCTAAGCAGGCTCTATGCTATCAGCACAGAGCCGGATGCGGGGCTCAATCTCACCAACCGTGAGATCATGACCTGAGCCTAAACCAAGAGTCCGACACTTAATTGACTGAGCCACCCAGGTGCCCCCCTTGGATTATTATTATCTTTTTTTTTTTATGTTTGTTTATTTTTTGAGAGGGAGACAGACCATGAGTAGGGCAGGGGCAGAGAGTGGGGAAGACTCATAATCAGAAGCAGTCTCCAGGCTCTGAGCTGTTCAGAGCCCAACACGGGGCTCAAATCCATGAACCTTGAGATCTTGACCTGATACCAACTCAGGCATTCAACCGACTAAGCCACCCAGGCATCCCACCCCCTTGGATTATTTTAAAGCAAATTTCAGGCCTCAGAGCACTTCATACAAAAATATTTAGTGTATACATATGTCTAAAATACAAGTGTTCTTTTAAAAGAACCACATTAATGTTACACCCAAAATTATTTTCTTAAGATTTCCTCAAATATCCAGTAAACCAAACAAACTGATAAACTCCAATGAATGGAGTGTTCATTCCCCAGTGTCTCAGGCACTGTTTTTGTAAGTGTTTTTCCAAATCATGATCCAAATAAAATCCATACTTTGCCTGATAGGTTTAAGTATTTAAAAAATCCCTCCTCATCTGGGGCGCCTGGGTGGCTTAGTTGGTTAAGCGTCCGACTTTCGCTTAGGTCATGATCTCGCGGTTCGTCGGTTCGAGCCCCGCGTCGGGCTCTGTGCTGACTGCCAGCTCAGAGCCTGGAGCCTGCTTCAGATTCTGTGTCTCCCTCTCTCTCTGACCCTCCTCTGCTCACTCTCTCTCTCTCTCTCCTAGAAATAAATAAAACATTAAAAAAAAAAAATCCCTCCTCATCTATTTTTCCTTGCAAATTATTTGTTAAAGAAATGGAGTCATTTTTTTTCTCTCTACATTTGAAAAGAAGGGTAGTGAACTACCAGATTACTAGAACCATTTCAAAATCACGATGAAGTGTTCTACATTAAGAAAAACCCACAGCATTTGAGAGAAATTTATTTCGTGTCTGTTGAAACGTTGCCTTCTCCTTGAGGCTCTTCCTGGCTGCCTTACGTCAATTCCATCATCCCCCAAATCCTTAGCATTTACATCCCACTGTCTTATTCTCTTTGTCTCCTCAGCGCTCGGCACTACCTCATTCACTCTATATTAATTTATTTTACCGTGTGATGTCTGCCTCCTTTCTAGAATGTGAGCTCCATGAAGGCAAGAGTTTTGTATGTGTTGTTCTCTGCTATGTCCCCAGCCCCTGGGTCATGAACGAAGACACATAAAGGCAGGGCAGAAACAGGGTGAGGATGGCTGTATAGGGGAAGGGCAGAGGGACGCAAAGTAGCAAAGTATCTCCATGCGCTTCACCTTCGGATTTACGATATCCACTAGAATCAGAGACCCCTACAGAGTTCTCTGAGACGCCCAGATGATGAATATCTTTGCTTGTCACTCAGGGATGGAGGCACCTCTCCGGAGCTGGTGACTGGGCCCCTTGGCCCCTACAGTCTCAGGCCCCATCAACCACAGGGTGGTCTGACCAGTTTTAGCAACATAGCCTGTGCCATTTGGAGTACGAGGCTGCACCTCTCAGATCATCACCAACTATGAGCAAAGATGCTTCCAACGAGGATGGTAGTCTTAGTTCAGCAGAATTCAAAACATGTTTCCCAACCCTGTAGTGTGGTTGGGATCACAGTCAGACCGGGAACCCCCACACTGTCCTGGAATACAGCAGGAGCTGCCTCAGTGAGTCCCCACTGTGCTGGGAGCTGTGTGGCGTCAACCCAGTCCCTCCGTTCTACCTTAATGTTCCTATCTCTAAAATGGGGATAATATCCTTTTACTTCTGTAGGGTCGTTGTGAGTCTTTTCTGCTGCCCAGTGAGGTGGGGGTGTTAGTGTGAATCCTCCAGCAGCCTGCCCGAGAAGGGAGCATTCTGGTCACTTCAGGTGACGTGAGCGTAGCAGTGGCCGAGGAGCCAGGGAGGGCCCAGGCTAACTAGGGAAGGAGTGTGGCTGAATCTGGAAGCCCCCTCACTTGCTTTAGGATAGGGACAGGAGATACATTTTGTCTGGTGTAGCTGTGTGGAGCCGACATCTCTTGCCTTCCATCCCCTCCTAGGGGCCTTGACATCCTCAGCACAGTCTTGGGACAGAACAAGGGACAGGAAGCCCCACGCTGTGCTGACTGGATTCCAGCATGTTCTGAGAGCATTTCCAGCTTCAGTTAACGAGGTTCTTGCCACAGCTGACAGAGAGTATATCACTGGAAGAGCTCGACCCGTTCCTAGTCTGAGTATGCGCTTTGTCCAGGCACATCTGAGGTGTCCCATGACAGGGGTCCAAGGCAGTGATGGGGATGCCAGCCGGCCCCTCCCTGCCACCCCGTCGTGCCTTGGGGACCACCCAAATGTCTCAGTGGACAGCACTGTGTGTCTCTTTGTCTTGGGTGGAGATTACGAGTTTTTATTACTGCTGGTACCAGACGAGTAGATTTAGAATATTTTCTGTGTTCTACGAAATCCAGAAAAGACCCCTAACTTTTTTGTGTTTTTACTTCATGTATCTGTGTGCTGTCCAGTATGGCAGCCACTAGCCGTAGGTGGCTATTCTAGTTTAAATTCAAATCAGTTAAACACAAATTTAATCTAGTTCCCCAGTCAGATTTCAAGAGTTCAATCAGCAGATTATAGAAAGTTTCCAGCATTAGCAGAGAGGCGTGTCCAGCACACAGCAAACATTCCTCCTCAAAGCCTGGTGGGCGTGGGGAGGGAACTTAAGAGCGCTCAGGAGAAAGATGGGTGACAAACCAAAGATAAGCTGTTGCAAGTTTTACCTCATGTTCTTCTCAAGGTAAAACACTTCTCAAAGGAGATATCTCAGGGGAAGACTTGAGTTTTCCTGTGTTGGCACATTCCATTAGAAGGTCCCCTCCCAGAGCGCACTCAACTAACTATCAGCCACTCCTCACTATTTATCTCATTATCAGGGACACAAGGTGCCCCCTGCTTAGCCAGGGAACGCACCTCCCTGACTCCATGCTCTGCTGGAGGGTGCCTATGGGAAAAGCATGAGATTAGAAACTTTCAGAGCACTTTGTGACTTCTGAGGTAGTAGGAAGGAAAATTCTTAATCATTCTTGATTTGCTGTTCATGCTTCTTATACTCAAGGAAGAAAAAAGAAACCCTGGGAGAAACAGATGTTTTTCTGGAATGTGGGTTGCATCCTTTTCTGTCCTAGCTAGTGGGGTCTTAGTAGGAGAGCCAGAACCAGGTGAGGCAAAGGAGGTGCCCAGGGCTCAGATTTAGGGAGATGCTGGGCTCAGGGGCCAACCTCACACTTACAGGAGCCCCGAGAGAGATTGTCTCCTTAAATTTTGCATTCCGGGCACCTGGCTTGCCTCATCCTGGTCCTGACTAGGCTGGCTCTATTTGAGCTCATTTATCACTCACTCTAGACGATGCACCATGTGATTGTACATCAAAGCAGCTTTGTACTATGTCCACACCTCTTCCCTAGCTGGAACCCCTCAGGTAGGGGCTGTACCTGGTCCAGAGGGGTGGACAGGTGAGTGGCTCATGGATCAATGAGGAAATCCGTCCACCACGGATCTACTCGATGAATCAGAGTCCAGAACTCTCCTGACTTAGACTTTTCCGTGAACAGTTCAGAGAACGTCCTGCGTTGTCACCCACCAGGCTCCACAGCTGAGTCCTCTCTGCACATGGAGCAGCTGAACCCTCCATCAGCGTGGCTGAGGATGTGCACTGCTCTCCCCGCTTGTACTGGCCCAGAGCTTCGGTCACTGTCAGTATCAGGCTGTTACTGCACTGGAAAGCTCTGACAACAGTGCCACCCCTCCTCCACCCCACTTCCTCCGGAGTCCAGCAGCCAGACTGTCCTGGGAGCTGGGCCTCCAGGGCGCGCCACGATTTGGGGGAGGAATGGGGTCAAGAAGCACCTGCCTGGGGCTTGGAGGCTCCTCTGTGAACTCTGTGTTACATGCTTCCCCTCTCTCCTCCCGCAGAGCGTACTGAAGAAGAGGGACCAAGTGCAAGCAGAGTACGAAGCCAAACTAGAAGCCGTGGCCCTGAGGAAGGAAGACCGCCCCAAGGTCAGGGGAGCCCCTCAGGGAGGGCTGGGCTCCACAGGGCTGAAGTCGCCTCGCTGGCGCCGAGTGAAGCCTTGTCCCCAAATCCATACAGCTCAGGTGGTCAGTGCCAGCCGGGCTGTGTTCATGCTGTCCTTTTCCTGTTTGCTCTCTTCTCTTCGATGTCTTATTTCTAGAAGTTTCTAACGTGCACTCGGGATTGAGTTTTCTGCTGTTTCCTGAGATTTTTTTTTTTTTTAAGACTTTCTGCTTTACCCTTCAAAGGCAGTTCCTCTCTGAAAAATGGGACTGAGGAGAACGGGAAGAACAGTCTAGATCAGTATTCTCAAAAGTGTGGTTTGCTAACTCATCTGCAAGCTGTTGCCGATCCATGACAAGAAAGGTGCAGAAGCTGAGAGTCAGCAGTTTTATAGAAATCTGACCCTTGTTGAATATTCAGCAGGAGTGTTGTCAAACTAGCTCACATGGAGCAAACTACACACTGGTTATGTATAGTAGGTCTACAGCTTTGTCGTATTGGGGGGAAAAAGCCACCGAACAGTGGTCCTTTACCACAAAGTTTAAGAAGCACTGATTGAGCTTATGAAAGATGCCCCCGGCTGCAGGGCTCCGGGTCTAGATAGAGGATCATTCTGTAAAATTGCGTCTGTTGTTTTCGTCCCTGCCATGTGTTGCCTCCTCCCTCCCCCAGCCGGGATGAAAGAGAAGAGTAATAATAGCCGACGTGCAAGTGCTTACGACGTGCTAAGCTCATTACGTGATCTCACTTACTCCATACAACAGTCGTGTGGTTTGGGTGCTGTTATTATTCCCATTTGAGAGATGAGCAAACCAAGGCCCACGACCTCACGCTAGCAAGGGTGAGAGCCAGGGTGCAATCCTGCAGTCTGATCTTCGCACCTCGCCAGTTACCACAATGTCACTGTGTTCCTTTTTGTTTCCAATTGGAAGGTGTATTTGTTTTCTGAAAATGGGTGGGGTAGGGAATGTTTTTTAAAAAAAATAAATAGCAGGGGCCCAGGGTTCCGGGAGGTAATTCATCAGAACTGTTTGTCTTCCTCTGCCTTGGTTCTTGCTGCTGCTGCTGCTGCTACAGCCGAACTGAGATACCCTGGAAAGGACCCAGCTTTGGGAGTTGAAACTCAAACCTCAAAAATGCCACACCTGACTCCATATAGTACTTTTTTTTTTTAAGTTTACATATTTATTTTGAGACAGAGAGAACACGTGAGTGAGTGTCTAAGTGGGGGAGGGGCAGAGAGAGGGGGAGAGAAAGAGAAAAATCCCAAGTAGGCTCTGTGCAGTCCGTGTGGAGGCTGATGCAGGGCTCAGACTCACAAACTGTGAGATGATGACCTGAGCCGAAACCAAAAGTTGGACGCTTAACTGACTGAGCCCCTCAGGTACCCCCATAAAGTACCTTAAAAAAAATATATATATATATATATATATATAAATTTCTTCACGTGATCACCGTAGCAGTCATCTGAGGCCCAGAGGGAGGGCACTGTTCTTTCCCCATTTCACGGGTGAGAAAAGAGCCACAAGGCCGTTTGATGAATTGCCCAGTTTCGTTGATGCCCAAGGTCTTTATCTCGTATGCAGCGGGCATACAATACATGTCTGTGGCATTGCTGCCGTGTCACCCGTGGTGTCTGCAGGAGAGTGAAGTCAGCATACAGCTGATGGAAGGTCAGACAATATGGAGAGGGACTCTTGTCACTGGCCCAGCGTGTGTAGCTGGGACCTGGCCAGAATGCTAGGCACATCCCTTCCACTCCTCTCCCCGCAGGCTGTTGGCCTGCTTCCGTCCTGGGCATCGGGACCATGATGGGAATGCAGCTGTGTGCACAGCCAGCCCCCCTCTTCCGCTACCTCTTCCTGCACTAGTTCCTAGCCTTCCCTGTGGTGTTCTAGAATATGGTGCCATTTGCTGAGCCCGTGTCTCCATCTCATTTAAAGGAATGACATGAAATACTGTGTTTATAGATTTTGAAATTTCGTTCCAACAATTTAGCTTTCCAACAGAAATATAGAAGTCACTTTTCCTGGCTCGGGAGGGAGGGAGAGCTAGCACGTTCTGTCACTGGCCTAGTTTGGAAGCTGGAGACTCTGACTTTACAAGATGTCCTGACAGCATTCATCGCTGCTCACCACTGAATACAAGCTTTCTCAGAGGCTGGCTTGTCACTTAATCTCTGTTGAGCTCTGTACGGAACAGTTCCTTTGTAAAGACAGACGCCACAGGTTATGAATAAATGCTGACCTTGCCCTGGCTTGCTGGCCACCTAAAGGTCACAGCACCTTGGAGCCGACGGAGCCCAGGCAACAGCCATTTCTGGCTCCCACGTCCCAGCCAGCCAGGCTGTGGTGGCCCCCGTCTCGTGCTCTCTGCTCCTTGCGGGCCTAGGCGACTCCTCCTCCAGTGGGTGTCGAAATCTCGCTGTTGCTGTTTTCACCTTCCCAGGGCATCCCCCACATGACTCTTCTCTTGATGGCAGAAGTTCTTAGAAGAAGGGGAAGGTTTCCCTCCAGTGAGACTGAGCAGGAGGCCTAAACACGCCCGCCTTCTCTCAGCACCCTGTGGGTGAGCCGTCTTGGTCTGCCCTCTTTCTGCTAGGACACCAAGCCATGCCAGTGCTAACTCTGCCCTTTTTTAGCAGCTGTGGTACTTACCAAGACAGGGACCGTCTGCCGCCGGGTGCAGATCTGGGGCAGCAGCTGGTTCGGTGGGTGGCAGAGGCCTCTGCTAGTGGAGAAGCGTTCACTAGAAGGAGCACAGGTTCCAGAGCTCTCAGAACCACCAGCACAGCGAACATTCCAGATGCGAGCGTGGCAGGTAGCGGGGGCTCTAGTTGGAAAGTACGGTGGGGGCAAGGAGACTTCTCCGCGTGGAGCTTCTACAGGCCTGTCGTTCTCAGGCCCTCTGGACGAGTGAGGAGAGACGTGCCTGATGTTTCCCCGTTCTCGCCATGGTGGCCGCCATCCCAGCCTGGGTTAGAAAGCCAGAGGTCACGTCAGCCACGGAAGGGCAGGACCCCGCCCCCTCCCTTACGTAACTCCCACGGCACCTTCTATAATGTGCCTGTTGCCATTGTGGGAAGAGGAACCGGGGCTCGGGGGAATGACGTAACAAACGTGCCAAAGCTAACGAGCGTGGAGCTGGGACTGGCCCTCAGAAGTGCCTGGCTTCGACGCTGGCCCCCTTCCCCCACTCCGGGGCTCCCAGCAAGCTTTGCTCCCTAGGTAGAGCTGCTGGCTTTTGTAAGCATGTGTAGATGAACACGAGCGGGAGGAGGGGAGAGAATGTAGACCTTCTGTTGTGTCTTTGTTTCTGTGTGAGCTCCTTCCAGTCATCACACAGGTGAGCTTGTGGCTCCTCTGTCCTCAGTGCACCTGCTCTCTGCGCACCTGTGCACTCACGTCTTCCTCTTCATCTGCCGTACTCTGAGCTTCGTTTCCGTGTGCGTGTGCGTTAATGCATTCTTTCAGGGCACCAATGGCTTCCTATTTGCCCAGTTCTCAATCTTACACTGCCTCAGTGTTTTCTCAAGTTTTTTCCATCTAATGACTCATGTAGAAAATGAAAATATTTGTACAGTGCACAGAGATAAACAGAACAGGTTGCTTGAAATGAGATGACCAGCCTGGGACTCTGGCTTCCCAGAGGGCTGGGGGGTCCATGCTGCTTTGCGCACACCTCACCAACGAGGAAGCTCTGCCCCTCCTTCTCTCAGCAGCCCATGGCCGGGAAGACAGCCATCTTGAATCAGTTCCGTTATTGGTTCTGGGTGCTCACCCATAGCAGCTGTGAGCCCCCTCTCCTCCAGATCTCAGGGTCATGTCTCCCTTACATACTCTTTAGGGACTTTACTAACCTGCTTTCATCCAGGGAGCAGATAATGTGACATCTCCAGGATGGAAACTTAGGGAGAGATTGCTCTTATAAGGGCCTAGAAATGCCTGGTACATGAGAGAGCTCAATTTTTTTTTTTTTTAATGTTTATTTTTGAGACAGAGAAAGAGAGAGTGCAAGCAGGGGGGGGGGGCAAGAGAGGGAGACACAGAATCTGAATTAGTCTCCAGGCTCTGAGCTGTCAGCACAGGGCCCGACATGGGGCTCAAACTCACAAATGGTGAGATCACTGCCTGAGCCAAAGTCGGCCACTTAACCAACTGAGCCACCCAGGCGCCCCTGGGAGAGCTCAATTTTTAAATGAGTGTTGAATGAATTTGCTTCCCACCCTGCTCCCCAACACACACAAATGCTTGAGCTCATCCCACATTACTCCTCTCCCGTCGCTCCAACAACCCATGTTCTCTCATGGAAATTGTCATGAGAGAGAAGGAAGCCACTGTGCCAAATGCAGTGTCAAATGCAATACTTAGAAGTATGATCTTTTGAAGTCCTACCTGGTGATTCTTTTCTGTTGTTGGTGTCTTGTGGTAAGTGACACCCAACCATCAGCATCGGCTTTCACGATCTCCATGTCCTTCAGACACAAGCTAGCACAGCTCTGATGACACCTCAGTCAAAAAATTAAAACACTGAGATGAGCAATGCTGGGCATCCCTGGTCAGTAAACTGATGGTTACAAGGACACCATCCAGAAAGAGACAAAAGTGGGATGAACGGGAGCCGGAGTGTGTGGGCCAGCAGCCTTCCTCTTCATCAGGTTGGGCACCTTCAGTAGCTGGTCACTTCAGACAGTTCATCCCAACTCCTGGTTCCTCTTTTCTACCCTCCCCTTCCCTCCTCCATCCTTGTGTTTCTCTGGGTCTGCTCACTGACTTCTTTCCTTTTTCTGTGCTCATCTTTCTTAGTATCCTTTGCTGACCCCTTCATTAACCCTACAGATTTAGGCTTCTCCATGAATTCCACCCTTTGACACCCCCCCAACCTCCTCTTTAATTTCCCCACATATTAAAATTTTTTTGAATCATGGCAAGATACACATAACCAAAATCACCGTCTTAACTGTTTTTAACTGTATAGTTCAGACTTGCTAAGTAAATCCACATTGCTGTGCAGTGGGTCTCCAGAACGCCTTTTTTTATCTTGAGGAACTGAAATTCTGTACCCATTTCATTAGTCCCCATTTCCCCGCCTCCCAGCCCCTGGCAACCATCATCATGCTTTCTGTCTCCAGGAGTTTGACCACTATAGAACCTCTTATAAGTAGAAACGTATAATATTAGTTTGTATTCATAAATGGCTTATTTCACTCAGCAAAATGTCCTCATGGTTCATCCATGTTGTAGCATGTGTCAGATTTTCCATCCCCTTTAAGGCTGAAGAATATTCCACTGTATGTCTGTACCCCTTCTTGTTTATCCATCCACCTGCAGACAGATCTTGAGTTGCCTCCACCTTTGTCTATTGTCAGTAATACTGCAGTGGACGTGGGAGGACACATACTTCCGTGATACCCTGCTTTCAGCCTTCTGGGTATTCACCCCGAAGTGGAATAACCAGGGATGCCTGACTGCGTCAGTCAGTAGAGCATGCGACTCTTTTTTTTTTTTTAAATGTTTTATTTATTTCTAGCAGAGAGAGAGAGACAGCGTGAGCAGGGGAGGGTCAGAGAGAGAGGGAGTCACAGACTGAAACAGGCTCCAGGCTCTGAGCTGGCAGTCAGCACAGAGCCTGACGTGGGGCCCGAACCCACGAACCGCGAGATCATGACCTAAGTGAAAGTTGGACGCTTAACCGACTAAGCCACCCAGGCGCCCCAGAGCATGCGACTCTTGATCTTGGAGTTGTGAGTTCCAGCCCCACGTGAGTGGAGAGATTACTTAAAAATAAAATCTTAGGGGCATATGGGTGGCTCATTCAGTTAAGTGTCCAATTCTTGATTTCGGCTCAGGTCATGATCTCACAGTTGTGAGATCGAGCCCCACGTTGGGCTGTGTGCTAAGTGTGGAGGCTGCTTGGGATTCTTTCTCTCCCTCTCTCTCTGCCCCTCCCTCTCTCTTTCTCTCTCTCTCTCAATAAACTTAAAAAAAATAAAAACAGAGGCTCCTGGATGGCTCAGTTGGTTAAGTGTCTGACTTCAGCTCAGGTCATGATCTCATGGTTCATGAGTTTGAGCCCCACATTGGGCTCTGTGCTGACAGCTCAGAGCCTGGAGCCTGCTTCAGATTCTGTGTCTTTGTCTCTCTCTCTCTGCCCGCCCCCTCCTTGCACTCTGTCTCTGTCTCTCTCAAAATTAAAATAAACAATAAAAAATATTTTTAAAATAGAAAATTAAAATTAAAAAATAAGATCTTCAAAAAAAAGAAGTCAAAATGATGGATCATATGGTGATTCTATTTTTAGTTTTTGAGGAAGTATCCTACTAAAGTTCTACACGAGTGCAGGGTTCCGATTTCCTACATCTGGCCAACACTTGTTATTTTTTTGTTGTTGATAGTAGCTATCTCCTGGATTTGAGGTGGTTCTCACTGTGGTTTTGATTTGCATTTCCCTAATGATTAGGGATGTGCAGCAATTTTTTAAAAGGGTCACTGGCCATTTGCAGATCTTCTTTGGATAAATATCTATTCAAGTCCTTTGCCCATATTCAGATTAGGTGGCTGCTGTGGTTGAGTTTTCTCAGCGCCCTCTTGTGGAGGGGGGGCTCACCCTTTCCACGGCTGTAGCTTCCTCCTTTTTCTGGTCCATGGACCTTGTCCTTTATCCTGAGCCCTATGATTCATTGTTGCCACCCTAGTCACCCAGACTGCAGACACAGGCTCCTCTCTAACCTGTGTCTTCCTTCTCACGTGCAGTTGGTGGCCACATCTGTCAGCTGTGTCTCCACCAGGTTGGTCTCCCCTCCCCTCTCCTTTGTTGTTACAGCCGCCACCCTGCTTCCAGGGCACCCGGGGTGATCCCACGCCAATATATTTTGGTGTTGACTTATCTCCGATCTCTGGTGAAATCTCAGGGTGAGGTAACATGGGTGAAGAGTGGTGTAAAGGACGAAAGAATATATTTAATAATGTTTTATATTTGGAAAACAAAAAGGCAACCTTTTTCTATGAGACGGAATAAAGTTCATAATGTTCATTCTTGATGGAGGGGCTATGCACATGGTCGATTACCTTGTAAGAATAGCAATTTACAGTATTGATACCGATCAGAACGAAGCAGTATTTGGGGAGCATTTAACCTATGCCAGGCACCAACTATTTTATGCATATTCTTTTCTTTAACCTTGTAACAACCTTCTAAGATGGTTGGTATTGTCCAGAAACAAGCTGAGGCATGAAGAGGTCCAACATCACTTACCTAGGAAGTGGTACGTATGGTATTCAAACTCTGGAAGCCTGGCTCTAGAACTGTCTATATAGTTGGAGGAAGCACAGGCTTCTCTATTTTCCAAAAAAGGGGGCAGCTGACAAAACGTGGCCTCAGCAACCCAGCCTTCTCGTGTTCTTACTCTACACCACGCCCCCCACCCCCACCCCTGCCACCATCTTGCCGTCTAGAGTTCTCTCTCTGTGCCTTTGCGGACACTGCGGCCAGTGAGCTATTCCTGAGGTGGGCCCAGGTGTTGCCTCCCCTCTCTCACCTGTACGCACCGTCACTCTGGAGTGCTGTCCTCCCACTGTCTCCTCAGCGGGATTGGTTCTTCAGGGAGGCCGGGTCCCTCCTCCAAGCTGCACTCGCTGTCCAGCGCCCCCTCAGCAGGCTTACTGCGCGGCCGAGTGAAGTGAAAGTACCAGTAACCTCTCATGCTGACGTCCAGGCACATTTAGTTCCTTCCCAGCTAAACCTTAAGCAACCTGAGATGACAGCCACCTACTGAGAGCGAAGCACCTGTGCCAAGCACAGAGCACGTTATGAAAATGATGCATCCCACATATTTCCCAAATCGAGGCTCAGGAAATCATATTATCCAGAGCCATGGTTTTGACTCTTCATTTTAAAAAAAAATCTTTATTTATTTTGAGAAAGCAAGAGAGTGTGTGTGCATGAGCGGGGGCAGGGCAGAGAGAGAGAGAATCCCAAGCAGGCTCCACACTGTTAGCACAGAATCTGACGGAGGGACTCGAACCCATGCACCAAGAGATCCTGACCTGAGCTGAAATCAAAAGTCAGATGCTTAACCGACAGCCACCAGCTGCCCCTTGACTCTTATTTTTTGTGGGTCATCCAGAGTTCCCATCTTCCAAACCGACCTGGGACCCTTTCCTAGGAAAGAACTCCTTTGGATCAGAGACCCTGGCCTCCCTCTTCTCAGCAGGCCCGACCAGGTTCTCTATTTCAGAGCTTTGCTTCCCTCCTGTGCACAGCAGTTTTGCTAAGCAAACAGGAAGTGGCTCCAGGGAACTTGCACCTTGAGGCTTAAGTGAGCAGGAGCCAGGAGAGGAAAAAGGGAGATGGACTGTGGCTGCAGGACGGTGAGGCCCGGACACACTGGCTCCCCGGGCCTCCACTGAGGCTGGTTCACTGTGCGTTCCTGGGGAATGCTCCAAAGAGGCAGAGTAGGGGCTCACTCGCTCTTCAGTTCCCCCTGAGGGGGGCAGCAAGTGACAGGCAAGGCAGCAGGGAAAGGCAGAGGGACTTCCGTCATGGCATCAGAAGAAAAAGTCAAGTCCTTTTTCTCTCTTCTTCTAGAACCTCAGCGCTTTGGAAAAGGCTTTTCTCCTTCTTCAAAGAAAAGTTCCTTACTCTTAAGTTGCCCAGTATGCCCGCCTCCGTCTTTCTTTCCAGCTCCTGCCTCCCCCAAGCTCTGACCCCATGCCGGGCTGGCGTGAAACCCCCGTCCCCCACTGCTCGTGTCCCTTGCTCCCGCTTCTGCAGCCATCTCCACACAGTCCGGTCCGTGTGGCCCTCGGCACTTCTAGAAGCCCTGAATGTGTCCGGCTCCCTCAGCCTCTGCCTTCCCCTTACTGGTTTTTCTGGCTCTTCTAGTTGCCTATAAGGTGAGAATATGAAACTTCCCAGGTTCGTAGAGATTGACCCCTCATGACACCCCACAGCTTGGAGACATTTGGGGTCACAGGCCTCAGCACTCAGATGTACAAGGCCTCGTTTGTTGTCTGGAAGCATCTGACATGTGGGCATCTGACCCAGTTTTAGGTACGTCAGCCCCTGGCCACCCTCAGGGTCGTGTGGAGCGGAGCCAGCTCCGTGCTTTGTGGACCCAAGTAGCCACAAGGCCCTCCGATTGTGTAGGGTGGATGAACTCACCAGGGCAAAGCAAAAGTCTAAACTTCTTTAAGAAAAACTTGAAATGGCCTGCTCTGTTTTTCTTCATGTTTCAGATTCTTTTGACACATACGTGATTTTCCTCCTGTTTCCTCAGAATTACCTAACTTTAACTCATCGTTTTTGATTATCTGCTATCTGGGGGAGCAGAGACAGGTCTCTAGATTACTTGTAATGGGGGGTTCAGAGGGAGAAGTAGGCCGATAGTCTTATTGCAATTAATCCTGTGATGAACGAGGGGAGGCATTATCAAACATCACAAGTGACGAGGGAGTTCCTGTGATATGGGAAAGCCTTTTCTGGTTCCATTACGGGACCGAGGAGAATAGCAGGACAGTGCCCAGTAAGTGCTGTACATTTGCCAACTCTACACAATTTTACATACGGGTGGGTAAAAACGAGGAACCAAGGATATCGGATTCTGAATTGCAGTGTTTCTTCTTCCTGTTTGTAAACGGGTGGGGGTGGGGTGTGTCCCCCATGAGTCTCTGTTGTGCTTGAATGGATTTGAAGATTTGGGTCAGGATGGCACTTTTTGGACTTCCTTCTTAGACCTGAAAACCCAAGGCTCTGCCTTCAGATAAACCAACCCCCCGCAACTAGCCGCCCGAGGAGGGGGTGTGTCTACGGCATTCAGTATAGTGATTTGGCCTTTTGCAAGGGAGCTTGAGGCATGAGTCACCAAGTTCCACATACAGAACTCCTCTCTAATGCACCCCTCCTTCCAGGTGCCGGCAGACGTTGAGAAATGTCAGGACCGGATGGAGTGTTTCAACGCTGATCTGAAAGCCGACATGGAGAGGTGGCAGAGCAGCAAGAGGCAGGACTTCCGGCAGCTGCTCATGGGAATGGCCGACAAAAACATCCAGTACTACGAGAAGGTAATGAGCGTGCCGGACCACGGCCCTCTCGATGAGGAAGCGCGTCTAAGAGCCAGGGAGAGCCTTGTGCGAGGGCCTGCCCAAAACCCAGCAGCGGCCGCCCCCACGTGTCCCTGCCCCACTGTGCGGGATGTGGTGGCAAGTTTGGAAGCAGAAGCCCCCCCCACAGGGCGTTCACGTGCATACGTGGAAGGGGCAGTCCTTTTCTCCTGGGCCCTTTAAGCCTGGCGGCTAGCTGCTCCCCAGAGTCAGGAGGCCTGCAGTTGAGGGAGAGAGCGGGACCCAGAATGCTACGGGGTCTCTCACTGAAAGCAAGCTCCTTGAGGCTCCCCAGCCTTCCTTACATGGGGGAGGGTCCGAGTCTAGTTTCTGCTCCAACCTCAGAGTCACCAAGGAAGGAAGCGTGGAGTCATTTTACCACTCTGCTCCTCAACTTGACCATAGGATGCCTCTCTCCTCCTACCTGCTCAGAACTCCTTCCCAAATGACTCAGCGCAAAGACCTGCCTCACCTGGAGCTCCTCCCACAGAAGGCCTTGTGTGGTTCTTCTGTCGTGCCCTTTATGCAAGAGATTGCTCAAGGGAGGATCATTTTGCTAAGGAGGGTGCTCTCAGGAGAGTGCTGGTCTTTAGGTTCTTAGCCCTTGACACGGATCTGGAATGAAAGGGGATTGCTATAGTGGAAAGAATACTCATTTTGGCCACTTACTAGCTATGTGTCTTAGACAAGTTATGTAACCACTCTGGGACTCATCTTCTCCATATGAAGCACGCACATGCATGCACATGCGCGTGTGTGTGAGAGAGGAAGAGAGAGAGAGAAGTAATAATCCTACCTCACGGAGTTGTGAGGACTAGCAATAGTGAATGTATGTAAGATACTTCCTTGATGATGTTCGGATCCAATGAAACACAATAAATAGTTTCCTCCCCCTATTTTCCCTGTTGGGAGATCCAAGAGCGGCCCACACAAGCAAAAAGTCTGAGGTCGGTAAAGGAGAGTGGGGTTTCCACCCACTCTGAGTCAGGTGACTGGCTCATGCCAACATCATTTACACCCTTGTGCAAGTCATCCCGGCACCTGGAGCAAGTCTTCCTCTTGGCTGAGGCCCTACAGCCTCTGAAGGCTTGCAGCTCACTGCCTTTTCTGCTTCTTGAAGGGAAAGAAGTTCTGTCAGTGAACACATACCCACTCACCAGCTATGGGCTTTATGGACAGTGTGTTAAGGCCCGGTAGAGACCCCGCTGTCTTTCGTAGAGGTGGGGCTGGTGTGTTCAAAGCAAACGCCTGCCACCTCCCCAGTTTCTAACAGTGGACACGTAGACCTCGGACGTTACATTACATACGTGCATCACTTAGACAACACATAAGACAGAGCTGACCCAGTGGGACTAACAAGAGATCAGAGAAGAATTAAGAACCTGCTCCTAAGATCTGATGTTGATACTGTGTCTGTGTGTGTGTGTGTGTGTGTGTGTGTTGTCATTTCAGTGCCTCGTGGCGTGGGAGTCAATTATTCCGCTACTACAGCAGAAACCAGAGGCCAAGTAAGTTCCTTCTTGGGCCCAAGACTCTTCTACCTACACAGGGCATGGCAACCCATACCAGGACGTCCCTGTAGTGCCAGAGAGGCGGCACTGAGAAAACAGCCACAGAATCATCTCTCCTCTGTGTATTTCTTCCCCTTCCCACCCCTGCCCGCCTTCATCTGACAGTGGTTCTCCATTAGTATTTATTCCTTGGTGGAGTCTGTAAGGCTGTCATCATCTCTCAGCAAGAGAAGCATGCCTCCGTGTTGTGAAGGAGCCCATGAAATCTGGAACACTAAGATCTGCAGCTGAGGGACGAGACAACCAGCTGGCGCTCTGACATCTCATATCAGTCTCCTGTTTGGGGACGGCATGTTGCTTGCTGTGGAAGAGAGCCCGGGCCTTGCTTTCCCAGGACACGAGGAAGGCAGACACAGAGGGGAGCTCTCGTTTTCCATGGACACATGGGGACTCTGGAATTGACCTGTGGGGGCATCGACTTGTCTCTGCCTCGAAGGGGGTGTTGGCACCTCCGCAGGAAGTCCTTAATGTACAGTGGCCTATAGCTATGAGTGTGGCCTGCTGCCTGCTTGTCACAAGTGGCACCTCTTTTGTGGCTTCTGGTTCACATAGGACCATTTATATCAGCGTCTGTTTTCCGTGCCCGAACGAGCAAGCCAGTGTCCTTGTCCTCACGCGATACCTCGGGGAGCCGAGGGGGCATTGCTCCCCAAACTTGTTTCTGACACTAGAATGCAGTAGATTGGAAACTGGTTTTTTGTGTAAAATGGGGGGTGGGGGGGTGAGTTGCATTTTTCTCCGTGAAGTTCTTCACTGTTTTTCTTTTGCTTGTTCGATGTCGTCAGAGTAGAGCTTAGGCCTGTTGTGGGGGGCACGTGCTGTCTGAGGTCACAGTAGCTCCCAGAAGCCGGGGTCAGTGGGCCTATGCCAGGCCCCGTCCCCACGTCTGCTCTGTGCAGTCTGCCTTTACCTCACCCAAACTCCTAATTCAGCGTCTCCTACCACATCCACAGAGCCGCCTTGCAGTGAGAGGCCGGTGTGCTGTCGTGGCACGGTGGAGTTCTGGGAACTCCGTGCGAAGGTTCCATATGAAGTGCTTTAACCCTTGATAGTCCCTGGTCGGGAAGAAAAGTCAGTATCTGGATGGGCCTCAAAGATGACAAGTGTTAACAGTGAGCCCTTTGCTTGTCGATAAGCTAAAGCCTCCTCAACCTGCAGCCACATTCCCTGGCCACCACTGGCGGCATCTCAAGTCTTCAGACGGTCACCTTCAGGTTTGCTTTTCAAACCAACACGAAACAGACGAAGGGATCTATCTTCCCACTCCTTTTCTTCCCTCCTGGAGTGAAGCTACCTGTGCCACGTCTGCGCTGTCCTGCCTGTGGCTCGTCTCGCCATAAAATGATAAACCTGAACCTCAGAGAGGCGGTCCGTGTTTTTGTTGTGACGCAGCCATGCCGAGGCACTGACACACACGCAGGTTGTGACCCGCGGATACCAGGCCACGTGCGGCGTGTCGAGGTCGCACGCTCCCACCCCCACCCATAGCGTTGACCTCGGGCGGCCACCACCCCAATGCCAGTGGCGCAGCAGTAGGACAGCGCAGAACAGTTCAGTTCTGTTTCATTCGTGTTTTGACTAAGTTGCAGTTTCAATTAGGATTTTTGTGTCCGTCGGTACTTGCCTGCTCCGTCAGACCCCCTCATGCCATTCTAAAACCCTGCGATGTGAATTTTCAGTTTGGTACAATTAGAAGTGATTCATCGAAGCAGAAGGGTAAGGACAGGCCATCTAGCCTGAGTGGTGAATCCGTGTTTCATGCTACCTCTAAGCCATCACGGTGGTGCGGGTATGGAAGTCTGGGTCCAAGCTGACAAGTCCAAGCTTGCCGGTAGAACAGGGTGGGTATCCACTAACGGGTCGATGGCCCTCTCTTGATATTTCACATAGGGCACTTGACTGACCCAGCAGTGAGTGCTCATCTGGAGGAACGTGTGAAGCCTTGCCTTGTGGAATGTGTGCTTTAAAAATGTTGTCCAGTGTCACAAGTGCTTGGAAAGAATTGTGAAAAGAATTAATGGAAAGACTGGGATCTCGTCTGCCACGAGTTGCCAAGCCCAGGAGCATTCCTGTGGAAAGGTTAGTTGGAAAAGAAGGCAACCCTTCAAAAGAGTCATCGGGTTCCTCACGGGGACATATGGGAAGGAAGTGAAGAGGGGACACAGTCATTCCTTATGTTTCTGGAGGCTGAAGTCTAGTCGGAGGGTACTCAGCCATTGTGGGGCTTGTCTTTCTCCACTTGTTCGCCACGTGATATTTCTGTGCTTTAAGACACCAGGGAGGCTGGGACACTGACACCCGAGCTGGGATAACCAGTGTGTACTCAGACTTCCCTGGAGAAGGGACCCTTGCCCCTTATTTCAGGCTGGCATCAGATGAGGTGAGGAGGCCCAGGAAGAAGGGACGGTAGGCAGTGAAGGAGGCTCCCCGGACCTCGCCCACCCCCACGGCTCACCCAGCCTCTGTGAGTAAGGAGTGCCCAGCATTGGCCCCTTCATCTCCGTGAGCATGAAGATGATTCCCTGTGAGAAGTGTGACTCGGAGATTTCTGTGCCAAAGACTGCCTCGTAGAGGCTTCACCATCCTTCTTGGCTCCACAAAGTCATGGTGCTGAGATCACTGCCTCCTCTCTCATATTTATGACCCAGGAGGCTTTTGCCTGGGGACACGCTTGACCTCGGGCAGACAGATTTGGACAGGTTTTGAGTCTTGAGCACACGGCAGCAGAATGCAGAGGGATCCCTGTCAACTGTCCCTCGGGTGTGGGAAGGAAGGGAAGGGTTCATTCACCCAGGTTAAAAATCCAGGCTAAGGCAGAAGAGGAGAAAATCCCTAGAAACTGAGCAGATTTTAGAGATGCACTTGCACTTGATGTTGAAGAGAGCAGTTGTGCTTGGTGGCAGATATGGACTGCTGTCTTCCTTATCATATGGTGGGGCCACAAGAAGATTCTAGGCTACTTTGCCCAAAGCCAGAAATCCTCTGTTCTTCCTGAACAAGGAGGGAACACGTTACACAGCCAGGTTTGGGGTTGGGTTTTGTCTTTTAATAAGACTTAATAATGATTCCCAGTGACCTCAGATAAGTGCAATTATGAAGATGATTGGCTCATATTTCACTGTGCTGCTCGTTGAACTCACCAGTCACCTTCCTTTAGGTGAAACAACAAAAGCCAGTACGACCCTGGGGGGGCCGTGGTGAATGTAGCATTAAGTTTGTCTTCATGCCAAATTTCAGCCACACCTGGAGCATGTTCTACATGTTATTGAAGTAAATGTTTTATCGAGTCACCATCCACACAAGGGCTTTAAATGAACACTTGTCACTCAGTTCTTGTGAGGCCACCTTTGTTTTGAAATGACAGGAAGTCCTGCTTTAGAGGAGTGTATGGTGGCCAGACGGCCATCTGCTAGTGGAGTTTTTCTCTCTGGCTGGTGGGTGTCAGCCCAGGCCACACCCAGAGTTCCAGTGATTGGAGCCTGCCGTCAATAGCATTGAAATCGGGGGTCCCTGGCCTTGTCTTCATGCCGTTCATTAGATGGCAGAGTAGTCCTTCTCTACGCTCTGCCCCGAGAGGCAGGAGAGAGACACCCATTGCAGCCTCCCGGGCCCATGTCGGCTGCGTCTGTTTGGGTGTCGAGCTGAGGTAGACCTGGCCTCTCCTCTGGCTGCGCTAAAGGGTACTTCCGCTCAGAAGAGAGGCTGCCTATGGTCTGGGCAGGGCACAGCAAGCCCACACCCCGCTTCCCGGATGCCTGCTTTTAAAGGCCCGTGGAAGCTGAGCAATCTGATTGGCAGGCTGAAGTATCACTGCTTGGGCCGTCCCCATTTACAAAACATTTTGGGGGTTTGGGTTTGGCTTCTCACTTTCAAGAGTCCTCGAGACAGCAAGATTGGACACGGCCTCTTACGTTTTCTCCATTCGGATGGCAGGTGGCATTTATCAGTAAATCTGTGTAAAATGTCATGCCATGGGTCAGACTGACCTAGCAAGCTGGGTGCATTGGAGTTGTACTCTGTTTCCTCCTGGTATTTTTGATTTTGTGCATAAACCGAGAACCTGAGTTTTCAGCAGCCCACCCAGCAGGTGGTTAGCTTTCTGCTTTAAGGGTGTCTGGCCTCCCTACAGCTGCCCTGATGAGAGCGCGCACAGGGCCACCTGCGTTAGGAAAGATGAGGGAAGGTCTTTGTCACAGGGAGCTTGACCGGTGTTTCTTAATCATATGTTTGAACTGCATTCCAGGTCTGGCTGTCTAACCCTTTCTATGTGGCAGAAAAATATGTTATTCAGGCAGTTTTTACTACTATAGATAAGCCTGTAAATAAGTGCTTTGGAAAAAAATAACTTTAAGAAACCAGTAAGATATTTGTTTCATACAGAAACATTCTGTTACTTAGCACTTGAAAATCAACAAATCCAGACTTTCAAAAATGCCACAGACTGTAGCTCTACTTTTTGAGAATTTTCAACACTGACTAATATGCCTTACTCTTCAGCTAGTGTGTTCTAGATTCTGGATAGAAAGAATTTTTTAGAAACGTAATCAATTGTTCAGCTTAAGTGCTAGAGGTCTAACGTAGCCAGTCCTCAACCCTCTTAAAGAAATAAGAAAGTGAAGTTCATAATTAGGGCTGCCTTTTGGGAGGAGAAAGCTAAGTATTGCTATTGCCAAATGATATTTTTGATAATGTAAGGAAACACAGGGACCACTGACCCATTGTGTGTGTGTGTGTGTGTGTGTGTGTGTGTGTGTGTGTGTGTGTGAAATGTGAAAGATTAAATTAGTGCCTTTTGGCACACTCTTGATTGTAGAGGATATATATGGTATCGGCATCGACAAATCACGTAGATACAGAGAACTCTAGATTATGACAATATTAATGGTTTGCCCCTTCTGCGCAACAGCTTTTTAAAGGATAATTGGGGGCGGGGTAGGGGCCTCAAAGCAGCATGTTTCAGATAGAAATTTTCCACAGGTTGAAATGCCAAAAACCTAAACCCCATTGTGTTGTCTCCCATACTTTAGTCCATTTTAACAGAGCTTTTACTATTAAAACCAGTGATGGAGTATTGCAACACGCACGTCCCCAGACAGCGCCACCCCCTCACCAGGTGATTCTGGGCTCCCTGTACACCAGGTCAGAGCAGGTGACACCTGTCTCCACCCCTGAGCAACAGGTTGTTCACAGTCTCAGGCCAACCCTTCAGTCACAGTAGTACTGGAAGGAGAAAAGGGCGGTGGCTTTTTTCCCCAGTATGGGTACGGGGAGGGGAAAGTTGATGGCGGGGGAGGGGAAGGTCGATGGCAGACAAAATGTGAATCTGTATGATAAAAAGACACCTGTGTCAGCTGGGCCTTCGTCAGACAACAAACCAGCAGCTGTCAGAAGTCAGCACCACACCTGGATACCCCTGAGGTCTGGTCCTGTCCCATGGGCGGCCCCCGCCCATCATACTTCCGTGTGCCTGATCGGTCCCTCGATGTCCGCGCGTTGGGAGCACATTGAGAGATGATGTACATCTGATATATTCCCATAAAGTAAACTGCCAGCAACCTTTCTAACTTGTATTTTAACTGTTGAAAAAGAGATTCAAGACTTTTGCTTAGGTCATGTCCAAAGTATGGACTGTATTTCTTATTTTTAGAGATCATTCTTCACATTTAAAATTTTAGAAGAACCGCCCCCCTACACACACACACACAAGATATTGATGAAGTCCTCTCCCTCCGTGTGTGTTCTCTCCTCTCCATGCTGCCAATAAGCCAAATCAAAAGCTGTGAAAAAAAAAAAAGTGCTCAAGAATGTGTGTAGACGAGAAAGAGATTTATTTTCAGGTCAAAGTCTGTGTTTCACGAAGCTACCAAACTATAAAAAGAATGTCACCTTTACTTTTTCCCTTTCTTTGTTATGGAACCCAGAGATTGTGAAAAGAAAAAAAAAAGAGTTTTTGTTGCATTTTTTGATGCTGGCACGAGGTTTTTGTCCACTTTTTTTTCATATATCCGTGTATTAAAAAAATTCTGTCCACTGTTTACTATGAAATTAGTATTACATTTTGAGGTAAACAAAAGAATTTGTATTGCTTGTTAACTATTAGCTTGTAAATTTAAAAGATTTCTTTACCTCAATTAACTTAAAGTAATGGACCAATAAACCTATGAATGATGCTTTCTTTACCTTGAATTGTGTTGTCATTTATAACACTTTTTACGACAGGGAAACATGTGTGCCTTGTATTCTGTTTTCTTGTTTTCTCTAAAGAGGTATGAGTTTGCCTGCAAGAATCTGCAGGCAAAGATTTCTCTGCAAGAATATACAGAGCAACAGGTAAAAATATAATTGAATTATTTTTACTCTTCTTGACTTCTCTGTAGATTTATCCTCAGTTTACTTTCTCTTGCACCTTACAGGTTGGCACCAGTTTGGGGAGATGAAGAAACTGCCTAGTGTCTGTACGTAACCACTGTGATTGGTGGGCAGCCTGGCCACCAGCCCAGGTACTTACGTGAGGATTTCTTCCTACTCAGTCCCGTAGCAAAGCACATCTTCTCACTCAGGGCCAATCAGAAGAAATGTCTGTAGTTCATTAGGGTGTCGATAGTGTGTTTCGAAGGGGGATCAGAATGCTCAGTTAATGACCCCAATGCATTGGAAATGGACTTGAACTTTCTGACAGTAGACATCACTAATCTAAGACTACAGTCAGACAAAATGAGAGACAGCCAGATGGGATTAAGAGAGATTTGGGATCAAGTCTCAGCTTTTCTATTAGTTACTTCTGTGGCTTTAGGCAAGTCCCATTTCTCTGAACTTCAATATTTTGATCTTTGCAATGAAGACGTGCTTTCCCTTGGAGCGTTGCTAATAGGATTGGCAATGATGTATATAAAGAACCAAAGTGTCTGCCAGCACTTAGATGATTGCTCTTACGGGAAGATTCTCCTATTACTTGTTTAAATATGGCCAACGTAAATATCAAGTATTCCCATAACAATCCTTCCCGTTTGCTTTGTCAATTGAAAATTTAAAGGGGGGGGGTTATATTTCTTGTAACTGCTTTAAGAAGGTGATGGGGATAGTATTCTGAAGCCCTGGGAAATAGATGGGAATAAATCATAAAAGTTGTGGCAGCCGGTGATAGGAAGGGTGATGGATGTAAGGGATTTCTGTGGCAAGGGGAAGGAGTCAGAGATGACATGGAGTTTTCAAGCCTGGGAACAGGGAGGTGATGGGATTAACTCACATGTGAAAACAGGACAAAAATGTAAAGGTTGGAGTAGCTTAGATGGTGAGGTGGGAGAATAATTTGGTTTGGATTTATGTTTGAGGAAATCCAGGTGGAGGTGTCGACCAGATTGTTGGAAAGAGCGTTCTGGAATCCCTGAGAGTAGACTAGATTACTTGGGGAACACACCAAAGACAGGGCTTTACGGGCCTCAAGAATTAAGGATGGTGACACCTGGGGGTTCAGTCGGTTAAGTGTCTGGCTCTTGGTTTCGGCTCAGGTCATGATCCCCTGGTTCATGAGTTTGAGTCCCAATTTGGGCTCCATGCTGACAGTGCTGAGCCTGCTTGGGATTCTCTCTCCCTCTTTCTCTCTGCGCCCCCCCTAAATAAATAAACTAAAAAAAAAAAAAGGATGCAGGGAGAGGAGGGGAGGGACTCAGGGAACTTTCTTAAGGAAAGAAAGGCCCATAGATAATAACATTGGTTCTTAAGCTTGAGGGCTTGTGAAAACACCAATTGTTTGGGTAGAGTCCAAGAATTTGCATCTCTAACACGTTCCCTGGGGATGCTGATGCCGTTGGTTCAGAAACCACACTTTGAGAACATCAAAGGGGTTAGAACCTCTGTTAGAAGAATTGGTGACCTGGAGCAAGTGGGAAAGGGTCAAAACTGCCACCTTAGTGACAGATCCAAAAGGAGCCAGTGCTGCGGCTTTGAGAGCCCAGTTCAGGCTAAAACCCACAAGCTTATGGCTGGGTGAGTGGGGACAAATAAGGACATGTTCCTGGATGCTGCAAGCCAGCTCTTCAGGAGCAGGACTGGAACAGCCAATGATGAGGTTCATCCGGGCTGGGGAGGCGATCAGGGGCTGGGACAGGAGTCAAGGAATCAAGGGGAAGGAGCATAATTGGTGAGAGTTTAGCGAGGTAAACTTGGCCTTGAACTCCACTTCCCATCCCATCTCTGCCCACATTGCCTATCTCAGGGAGAGGCTCCGCCTTCTTCCCAGTTGCCTGAACCCCAGATCTGAGCATTCTTGCCTCCATCTGCCTCACCCCCTGCAGATTATCTGTCACCAACTCCTGCTGACCGCCAGCTCCCAAGGACTTCTCTAAGTCCCTCTACTGTTCTGCACCCCACATCTTATCCAAAGTCCGCCATTGTCCGTCACCTGGGTTACTGCCACACTCTCTGCTCTTGTGTTCTTTCTGCAAGTCTTCTCACTCCTTCTGCTCCTTCCTGCCCCGGATCATTCTTAGGGATGCCAGGGCGCATTTCATGCTCCTGTGTGAGCTCTGCCACCGGCTATCCCCGTTACTTTAAAGAGATGTTCTTTTGGGCACCTGGGTGGCTCAGTCAGTTCAGCGTCTTGACTTTGGCTCAGGTCATGATCTCACGGTTCGTGAGTTCTAACCCTGCATTGGGCTCTGTGCTGACAGCTCAGAGCCTGGAGCCTGCTTCAGATTCTCTATCTCCCTCTCTCTCTCTGCCCCTCCCCTTGTTCATACTCTCTCTCTCAAAAATAAATAAACATTAGAAAAAAATTAATGAGAAACTCTTTGTAAGACTCTATGTGTGTGTTGTTCCTCCTCAGCATTCCAGTCTCCTGTCTTGATTCTGTCCCTTGGGTACCTGTCCCTCCCTCAGTCTTTGCTCCACTTACACTGAATGCCTGTAACTAGAGATATTTTCACCTCAGGCCTTCCAGCTTATTATTCCTTCTGCCTGGACTGTCCCTTAACTTCTGGCCTTGGTGACTCCTTATCCTTCCAGTGTTGCCATGTGCCACTTCTTCTGAGAAGCCTTCCCTGCTCTCCTAAGTGTGGTTGGATGCTCCCTTATGTTAGCGTTTATTATAGGATCCGTGGTTGCCAGCTGTTCCGTCTGTTCCATGTGCTAGACAGAACATTCTGTCAGGGCATGAGCCATCACGTTCTTGCCATATCTCAGCACCTAGCATGGTGCCAGGACCTTAAGAGACATGCCAGAAGGTTTTGTTTATTCCCTGCAAGAGATCAGAGATAGAAACTTTCTGAGCCCAAACACCTAGAGCTTGAATGCATTCCCCAGCTTTAAGTGTTACCCCAGTATAAGAATGCCATGTCTGTAGTTAAGAGAGGGAGTCTGGCCAGGGAAGAATGATTCACACGCATACAGTAAATGTTGTTTTATTTGGAGGTGTGTCTGTTTTTCTATAAGTAAAAGGCTATAAAAATAGGTACCTCAAAATAAAATGGCTCTTAGCATATCTCCTCTGCCCTCTCCCTTCACACCACCCACTTTGGGAAGAAGTATTGTTAACTGAAAATATTCAGTATAATATTCCACTAAAGAAAGTCTTTTGATATTTGCTTCTTAAAAACAACAGTAACGATGGCAATAAAACTACCCAGAAGCCAAGAGCCTGAGCCCCAAATCTCTCCTGAGTGTTCACAGCTAATAAGGCCTCAGGGAAGAAAGCTAACTTTTTTTCAAGGTTTTATTTGAATTAAAATATATTGGCTGCTGTTCACTGTTGGGAGTTCTTATAAAGCATCCCCTTGCGCTCCCTTTAGGCTGTTGGAAATGCATGCTTTGGTTTGGGTTTTCATGTGGGACTCCCCGCATTGCACCCAGGTGACTAGTTAGGGGGACCTCGGAGCCCCGGAGACAACTCCCAGAAGAAAAGGGGCTGCTGTCTGAAGCCCTTCATGCGTCTCATGTGACTGTGCGCGGCCCCCTGCATCTAACTTGAAAATTCACACTCTGCTGCCCCCAGAACCTAACCTCTGTCTAACAGGGACATCTGAAAGCTGAGAAAGTTCTTCCATAACCAAGAAAGTGCTTTTCCCCATCCACCAGGGACCCCCGAGCCAGAGCAGGTCCTGTCCAGGCTGACTCTGGCCGGAACCTGAGGTTTGGAGCAGTGGCTTGCTTTGGTCATCAGCACCCAGTCCCTTCTTGTGACTTCAAAGGGGCCCCGCCATTGCCAGTATTTTCAGCTCCCGTAGGTCAGCCCCTTCATTTCTCTGTGATGTCTTCATATTGCTGCCAGGAGGCTTGTTTATAGGCCACGATGCTGTAGGAATTACAAGACAGAATTGCAAGACAACTGTTGGAACGGGGCAAAGGGTGTGCCTTGTCCTTCCCACCGGTGACTGCCTGCTTGTCACTCGTAGCCTGAGAGGCTGTCTCCATTGTTCCCAGAGTGTCCTGAGTGGAGAGATGGCCCATTCCAGCCCTATAATATCTCAAGCCCCTTGCATCTATATTTTCCTTTTCCTGGAATCTCTCTCCAACTCCCTACTGCCTGGTGACGAACTCTTGTGTGTAATTCAATCAAGATTGGACTAATCCCAAGCAGAATTCGCTGCCTCATCTTTTGTCTTTCCAGAGCTCCCTTATCTCTTCCACAAATCCTTATTATATTGTCTTCAAGTATTTGTAATAAAAAAAAAAAAAAAAGGTGTGTGCGGGGGGGATGCATAGGAATTAGGAGCTCTGAGTTGAAGTCTCGGATCTGTGTGACCTTTGGCAGGTCCCTCTGCTTCCGGGATCCTCAGTTTTCTCATGCTTGACTTTCTAGCTACAGCAACCTCTTCCTGGCTGGTGGTCAACACCTGGAAGCAGCTGGATGGGGTGCAAGTGTAAGTCCAAAGCTTCTAAGGAAAAGCCTCGTGGGAACTTCCCAGAACCCTGATGTCCCACCTTCCATGAGTCCCAGGGCTCTACAGGGAGGCACACTCACTGTATTTGAGACAAAATTCCTTGTATTACAGGGCTGGCAGGAAAGTCCAGGTATGGACCGACACCAGCTCGCAGCCCTGACTCTGCAGCTGACCCCTGCTGCAGACCCCGATAGCATAGCCAGGTGGCGCTGGCCAGCCGCTGCCTTCACGGTCATGGACGTCAGCGATGCTGGCTAGTAGGTGGCACACCCTTCCGACAGATCATTCATTAAACAAATGCTTTTTGAG